GCGGAAATCTCCTCCCAAAACCACATACATTTTTGAAAATACAACAAATACAACTCTCCCTTAAAGAGAGACCAGAAGACACAGGACAACAGCCAGACTACATCCACACCTGCGAGAACCCAGCACCTTGTGAAGAGGGTAAGATACAAGCTGTGCCCGGCGGGACCCAAGCGCCCCTCACCCCAACTCCCAGCAGGAGGAGAGGAGTTGGAGCGGGGAGGGAGAGGGAGCCCAGGACTGCTGAACACCCAGCCCTAGCCATCCACACCGGAGTGCAGACACACAGTGTGTGCGTCAGGTGCTGGAAACTAGGGAAACAGGACAGTAAGACCTGTGAGCAGGTCCCCGCAGCCGGCAGCCCGGGAACAAAGAAAAGCGAGTGCTTTTTGAAAGTCTTAAAGGGACAGGGACCCCACAGCTGGACGGAAGTGCTCTGGGACACCCAGCCCAGCAGCAGGGAATCCTGGGGAACTCTGGGCACCCGAACCCCTGCAGCACAGCTCAGAGGCCCCTCACCGTGATAAACAGCCTCTCGCCTGTTCCCCCTACAACGTGGCTCCGCCATATAAGAGAGGCAGCCTGAGGCAGGCCACGCCCACAGCAACTGCAGAGCTAAATAAACTCCATAGCGGCCGGGCAAGATCAGAAGCCCCATCGCCACACAGCTGCCCAGCACAAGCCGCTAGAGGCCACTGTTCTCCCAGGAGAACAAGGCCACAAATTGGCAAGAAGGGACTTTCTCTTACCCAACACATGCACCAGCTCCCCACAAATATATCTATCGCCATGAAAAGGCAGAAGAAATTGATATAGACCAAGATCACAGAGGCAACCCCTAAGAAGGATATACCTAACCAGTCTGCCTGAAAAAGAATTAAAAATAAAGCTCATAACCATGCTGATGGAGCTGCAGAGAAATATGCAAGAGCTAAGGGATGAAGTCCGGAGGGAGATTACAGACATCCGGAGGGAGATTACAGAGGTGAAACAAACTCTGGAGGGATTTATAAGCAGAATGGATAAGATGCAAGAAGCCATTGATGGAATAGAAACCAGAGAACAGGCACGCATAGAAGCTGACGCAGAGAGTGATAAAAGGATCTCCATAAATGAAACAATATTAAGAGAACTGCGTGACCAATCCAAAAGTAACAATATCCGTATTATAGGGTACCAGAAGAAGAAGAGAGAGAGAAAGGGATAGAAAGTGTATTTGAAGAAATAATTGCTGAAAACTTCCCCAAACTGGAGGAGGAAATAATCAATCAGACCATGGAAGTGTACAGAACTCCCAACAGAAAGGACCCAAGAAGGACAACACCAAGACACATAATAATTAAAATGGCAAAGGTCAAGGACAAGGACAGAGTTTTAAAGGCAGCTAGAGAGAGAGGAAAAAGGTCACCTACAAAGGAAAACCCATCAGGCTATCATCAGACTTCTCAACAGAAACCTTACAGGCCAAAAGAGAATGGCATGACATATTTAATGCAATGAAACAGAAGGGCCTTGAACCAAGAATACTGTATCCTGCATGACTATCATTTAAATTGAAGGAGGGATTAAACAATTCCCAGACAAGCAAAAGTTGAGGGAATTTGCCTCCCACAAACCACCTCTACAGGGTATTTTAGAGGGACTGCTCTAGATGGAGCACTCCTAAGACTAAATAGATGTCACCAGAGAAAATAAAATCATAGCAAAGAAAGCAGACCAACCAAATACTAACTAAAGGCAAAAAATAAAGTCAACTACCCACAAAAGCAGTTAAAGGAAGCACAAAAGAGCACAGAATAAAACAACCAACATATAAAGAACAGAGGAGGAGGAATAAGAAGGGAGAGAAATAAAGAATGACCAGACAGTGTTTAAAATAGCTCAATAAGCGAGTTAAGTTAGACAGTAAGATACTAAAGAAGCTAACCTTGAACCTTTGGCAACCA